AACATAAGATAAAAAAAATCAAGAAAATATATATTATGTTATATTATAAACTTGTTTTCTCTCTCCTCGACTCTCTCTCTCTCTCTTCCGTAAAAATTTCACGGAGCGCCCTATTTGGTCGCCCCCGTTTAACCTATACCCATATTATTAAAATTCTTTAACATATACCCTAATTTTGACAACTTCATCCTCCTCTTCTTCCTCTTGACCTATGCGCTCTTTTCTTCCTCCTATTCTTTTCCTCTTCTTCTTTTCTCTCTCAAATACATGACACTCCCATTACATGGAACATAAGCATTCTGAAGATGATTTCTCTTAGTACAGCAAATACAAAACAAACCTATAAATTAAAAATATCGTTATCATAGCAAAAGCACCAGAAAATTAGAAAACTCTGCCTTGGGAAATAATAGTATGAATAAAAACATATTTCCAAGGTCTTTATTCTGGATTATATACTTGAACAGAATACGGGCATGTAATTATGTTATGCTTGATTTACCAGTTTACAATAGAAAGAATGTATATGCAAGATGAAATTATAAGATGGGGTGACTGATCAATGATTGTCACTTTTCCGCACAACGTGCTTAATAGTCCCTTGATAGATCAGGATTTGGTCGTCATGGGATGATGAAGACATCAAATCATAAACTTCAGCTCCTAGAATGCTGAAGTTAAGCAAATACAAAATAAAATTCAGCTCCTAGTATGCTTAAGTTCAGCAATTACAAAACAAACTTCATCTCCTAGAATAATGAAGTTCAGCAATTACAAAACAAACTTCAGCTCCTAGAATGCTGAAGTTCAGCAATTACAAAACAAAAACTCCAGCCATACACATGTTGTAGTTTTATTGAACTAAAGTTTGCCATTGTACTATGAAACTGAAGTTTGCGTGATTGCCTTTGCAAGTCAGGCCAAACTTCAGGCAAAAATATCTGAAGTTTTGCTTTGATAAGGCTACACTTCAGGCAAAAAAATTTGAAGTTCAAACTTCAGACATAAATATTTTCTACTTCAGGCCCGTATGTCTGAAATTACCCAAAAAGTGGGTACGTTTGTAATTTTTTGTGCAAAGCGGGTATAAGTTAAAAGTGACCCAAAAACTGGGTGTAGATGCAAATCCCCCCTCTCTTCCTCTCCCTGCGACAGTAGTAAAAATGGCGTGGGGTAGCTACTATTTAAGGTGGTATTTATTTTTTCTCCAGCAATTTCAATGTTGGGCAAAAATAGTCACTACTCTATTAAAATTAATATGAAAAGATATTTTTATCCTTTCTTCCATTTCTTTTCTTCCCAAACCCTCGCTTCTCTCTCAATTAAGGACAGTGAAAGAAAATATGGTTGAAAATGGACATGACAATATCCGTCGGCATGGTTCAGGAAATAGGAGAAGCGTTGGTCTTCTTGATGCTTGTCTAGTACCAGGAGTGATTCTATTTGCACTGTGTATTTTCTTCTCAAAGTTGGTAGCATACACATTTTTGTACTGGTTGCCGTTATACCTTAGTCAAACAGGTATACCAATAGAGAATTGTACCAATAGAGAAATTTATACCATTGGAATTTGGAGGTACAAATTCAGATTACAGAGTTAGATGTGTCAAGGACAACTGGTCCTGAACTTAGAGTTGGAAGTTCAAAAATTAAGGACACTTGGTCCTTAACTTAGAGTTGCAAGCACAGAAAACAAGCAATCCTTAACTTAGAGTCACAAGCACAGAAATTAAGGACAGGTAGTCCTCAACCTCGAGTTCCAAGTTCAAAAGTTAAGGACATGTAGTCGTGAACTTAGAGTTACAAGTTCAAAAGTTAAGGACAGGTAGTCTTAAACTTAGAGTTACAAGTTCAAAACTAAGGACAAGCAGTCCTTAATTTAGACTTACAAGCTCATAAATTAAGGACAACTAGTCCTGAACTTACAGTAACAAGCTCATAAGTTAAGGACACTTGGTCCTGAACTTAGAGTTGGAAGTTCAAAATTAAGGACACTTGGTCCTTAACTTAGAGTTACAAGCACAGAAATTAAGGACAAGTAGTCTTTAACTTAGAGTTACGAACACAGAATTTAAGGACAGGTAGTCCCGAAATTCGAGTTCTAAGTTCAAAAGTTAAGGACATGTATTTCTGAACTTAGACTTACAAGCTCATAAATTAAGGACAGCTAGTCTTGAACTTATAATAACAAGCTCATAAGTTAAGGACACTTGGTCCTGAACCTTATGAGCAGAAGGGTATTTTCGTCTGGACGGGTAAAATTTATTAAAGCAATGGCTAAAGACTAAAGATATCTATATTATATTAAAAGGAGAGTAGTGAAGCATGTGGTTAAGCCAAGTGGCAAGCTAAAAAGAAGTCACTTGGCAATTTTAAGACAACATTAAAAATTTGAATTATAAACGGAAACATAATTAATGTAAGTAGTTTAATAAATCTTATACTAGATCTAAATAAATCTTAGACAAATCTAATCTATATATCTACATTTAAATTTATATTTATATGTATATTTGTAGATATATCTCTATTTATATCTATATTGATCCACCCATAGATATTTTTTCTATGTTAGTTAGAAATATGGAGGTAAAAAATTAACTAGAAATTATAATAAAAAAATTAAAAAAATATAGAAAGACATAGATTTAGACAACCTGTGACTATTTATACTTTGGAGTAAGTTAAAATAAAATTAAAATTTACTTAAGATATTAAAGATTTATTAAGTTTAAAAATTAAATAAATTCAAGCGACAAAATAAGATCTTACATAAAGTATATAAATTATTTATAAGTTAAGAAAAAACATAAATAATTCGTAAGAAATATTTTAATAACAAGAATAATAATGTCATATTAATATTGGTAAATCAGGCAAACGAATATTTTATACGTAAATATTAGTACAACATTCAGATATAATGGGTTCAAACAATTAAGAAAATATTTTTTTGTGATTAGTATTTGAATTGAGTGTAGTTAGTTTAAGTTTGAAAGTATAACATAATTTTTTTGAAAATGCAGTCAAATTTAGAAAATAGAATAATAAAACTTATTTGAATTTGAGAATTTTTATCTATATAATATTAGAATGAGTGTGGTATAAATAGATATTAAATTCAAACAAGCTAATAAAAAGCCATGTGACAATGTAACAATATTAAGTATTGAATAATATAATCAAAAATAAAAAATAAATGAAATTTTTTTTTAGATTTTTTATCATAGAAAAAACTGTAAAACTTATTTAAATTTGAGATGAGAAAGTTTTTTATATATATGATAAGAAAAGTCATAATATGAATAGGTCCACGTAACTCAAGTCTAATAGATAAAATCAAAAACTAAAAATATTGAATAAATTAGAGATAATGTGAGGATATTTATAAATCATAAGTTTAGAAAAAAAAAAATTAAATATACAAAGTTAAAATTAGAAAGGGAAAGGCTAATTAAATTTGAAATTAGAAAGTTGTTAAAATTAAATATACAATACTTAAACAATTAGCAAAATTATGTTAAATTATTAAAATGTTACTATTAGAAATAATTGAATTTGAAATTAAAAAGTTGTTAAAACTATGATTAGAATGCTCAAACTATGGACACTATCACGAAATTGAAGTCTTATTTATGAAAAAATAACTAAAATACAATATAAATTTCTAATATAGGTAATTATAGTAATGAAAATTAAAAATTAAATTTGTATTAAAGCTAAAAAGAAAGAAAATTTATATAAGAAATAAGCTGACAGTGAAAATGTTACTACGACATTTAGATATAATGTGTTCAAACAACTAAGAAAAATATTTTTCTATGATTAATATTTGAATTGAGTGCAGTTAGTATAAGCTCGAAAGCATAGGGTAATTTTTTGAAATTGCGTTCCAATTTACAAAATAAAATGATAAGAATTATTTGAATTTGAGATGAGATTTTTTTTATTTCATAATTGTTTTTTGGAAATTATTAACGGAAAGACAGTAAACATATTACTACATACATATAATATGTTCAAACAATTAAGAAATTATTTTCTAATATTAAAATAAAATTTTAAGAATAAAAAAACTTTCTAATATAGGTAATTTTATTAATAAAAATTAAAAATTAAATTTATATTTTAAAGCTAAAAAAACTTAACTACATCTAAATCAAAAATAATTATAGCAAAACTCAACACATTTGGAACATAATCATCAGATAACTTATGTATTAATATTTTAGCCTACATCAATTTTATAATTTAAAATAGAATATGATATTATTTTGGTTATAGGTAAAAAAATTAATGTAAAAACTAATTAAAATTTATAGTAGGGAAGAGAATGTATAAAAATCGAGATAGTGTGAGCATACTTATTCATTAAATTAATTTAAAAATAAATAAATTAAAAAATTAAATTATAATTAATAATATTACAATAAATTTAATTGATTAAAGAATTCCGAATGAAAGGATACAAGCATAAAAATATACCAAATTTCAAGAATAAAACATTTCTATTTATTAAAGACTACTAAAAGAATAATAAGCAAGACATTAATTTAATTAAGCTAATAAAATATTATATGATAGTACAATAATATTAAAATAAATAATGCAATAACTATAAGAAAAAAACAAGGAAAAAGGAATTCACATACAAATAATGTGATGAATAAGACATATTTAACTTTTAGATAAAAACAAAGTGACAGTAAAAAGTTTGTTAAAATAATATGATCTATTGTGCTCAACCAAGAGATATCACAACATGATATGTTTAGTATTTTTTAATATTGATAGCGAAACGAAATGCAACACCGAAATCAAGGGGTTAGATTGCTACAAATATAAAAAAAAAAAAAAATAGATTATGCACTACGAGATTTGAACAATAATTTCATATCCTACTTTATAATTAATATCTAATGTTATATAATATTTTAAGGTTATTTGCACATAATTCAAACAAACTACGTCACAATTTAACATCATTTATGTCAATACTAGTTTTAAACAATAACTTAAAATTAAACACATTGGCTAACTGGCTACTTCCCGCAACAGTAACCCAAGCCCAACCCCCAACGGTCATCTTCTGCCGAAACCCTACCGGCGCCGACGACGACAACTAGCTAATATTTCCGACCACCCCTCACCTCTCTCTCTCTCCTCTCTTATACTACTCCCGCCGATCCTCTCCCTTCTTTCTTTCTTCCTCATTCGTTCTCCCCTCCTCTTCACCCACAACCTACATAGTAGTTGTCTTCTCCGGCGACTACTATCCCGCCTGTGACCTATATTCGTTAAATAATTGGACTCCTATTTATTTTTTCCCGTCCAAAGGATTTTTCACTTCGACGGAAGAGAAAGGAATTTTTACAACTTTCTCTCTGATTTTTCCAATTTCTTACCCCTGCAAATTGTAATTCACATATCTCCCATTTTCTTGCTTCAGCTGCCACACCACAGGTAATTATTTCTGCTGATCTGACAATTAGGGACCGATTTTTTTTGCTCTTCATATCCCCTATGTGGGTTTCTATTTGTTCCACTGCTGTTAGCTTGTTCAATTTGGTATTCTACAGATTGTTTCGGCTTGAAAATTTTTGCTAAGCTTGGTAGTGAGTGGAACTTCTTTTACTCCAGTTGAAGATTTTGTCTTTTTTATTTCTTTGTGGGAAAATTTAGCTAAGTTCTGGATGTGATGAATGTACCTTTTTTTTTTCCTTGAGTTCAATTGGTACTCTTTAGTTTCTCTTGTTTGTTTGAAAAACTCAGCTAATGGTGTGTGATTTATGTCTGCACTAGAAATTTGCATAGGGTGAAGATTAGCCTACAGGACATAACATTAGTTTCTGAACACCTTTTTTAGTGAATTAAAATTGGGACTTACATTTGCTAGATAATTGTGCAGGATTTCGAAAGGCTTTTTATTGGTTCACCTCATTGTGTTCCCTTTTCCTTTCCAACTTTAAGCTGAGAGTTAGGAGCTAGAACCCGGTTCAACTCAAACTGATTCTGAAGTTTATAGTCAAGTATTGAGTGAAATTTCCTTAATTCTTACTGCCAGTTAAAGTTAACCTCCAACTTGGGAAAATCATGAAGCTTGATGAGATCTTTCATCATTTGAGTCTCCAAGTTTTTAGTGTTGCAGAAGTTGTAGATACTATTTTTCTGTTAGTACTAATAATTCATTTGTGTTAGCGTACAAGAGGGTCGTATAATATGAGTTCTGAACTTTTAGATACTAGAGATTTGGATAAAAGCTCTTCTACTCAAGGAAAAGGCAAATGTGCTTCTTTGTGAACTTGCTCACCCTTGCATCCTTTTTATTTTCTGTAGTACATATTTGGCGTGTTGAAAGTTGCTGGAACTCCTATTACCAAAGGACATGTTACTGGACACTCTTAGATTACTTTCTTGTGAGGTCTAGTATTGTTAAAAATTGAAAAAATTGTTCAGGTGCAGTTCACGTGACTATAAATCATCTTATTAAGGAAAAAATGAGAAGTTCAAAACTACATTCTTTCCAAATTTAGAAAAGGGTCATTCTTTTTTAAACTGGCGGAAAAGGAAATAGGTTCATTATTTTTGAAACGGAAGGAGTATTTGTTTTGTACTTATTCTAGAATTCAATCATGTAGTGAAATGTTCTTGATATCTCCACGATTTGTTGGTGTATGTTGCTTTGCAGGTTTTGCATTTAGGTGCTTGTCTGCTAAATTGCCTAATTGCTAGTTTTAAAGAGTTTATTTGTTTAGTAGATAGTATCGGATGACTAGTCTATTTATTAGAACGTGTTTGTAATTCCTCTGTTTGACCTGTTTTTTTATTTGATGAGTAGCAGGACTATTTTACGGCATCTCTCCTTCTCTCGCGCATAGCACTACAGAGGTAGAACGGAATTAGGAAGAAAAGATGCTCTCAGGTTCTTCAATAACTTCTATTTCTGCTTATCCTTCATTATACATAGTGCTTACACCTTTCCTAAGAGGGCTGAGCACACGGGGTGTGTCACTGTTTATGAGACACGATAGCCAGAACTCCAAACTATCAAGCTATATAAGTGTCATCTCATCCAGAGACTAATAGGTTTTAGATTAAATAGATGTGGGGTGCTCCTCCGTGCAGCGTGCACCAGAGAGAAGTGTTCCAAAGAGCTTTGGATCTGCATATCATCACCCTAAAAGCTCTTCCTATATCTATACAAACAAGGAAACTAGAGTAAGCCCAGTAGACATGCCAAGTTATTTTTTCCTTGAGCTCTTCTTCGGCAGCTAAAATTTGTGTAATGTCCTCAAAGATCTACTTCTTTCAATTCTAATGCCCTTTTTATTTAATAATTTGTATGAGTGTCATAAGAGTATATAGCATTGTGTCGGTTAATTTCACTTTTTACTTAGTCTAAGCCATAGTTCTGTCTTTTCAGTGTTCAACGTCGGAACTCAGCTTCAACCAAGAGTAATAGGCATTCGCAGAAGCCAAGGTAAGTGAAAGTCTGGATCACATGGGCATTATTTGCACTTATAGTACCCCGAAACAAGAAGAAAGAGAGTAACTCTTTTAAGAAATAATAAAATAGTTTAAGAAGATAATAAGTCAGGACTTGTGATCTCTAAAGAAACCACGTGATGTGAAAACCAATGGGTGATCACCATAGCTACTACTTATTCTATTTCTCCTTTAAGATTTTTCACCAAAGCAAAAGAGAGATGCCAACAAGTACTGGGATAGGAAGCTTACACCATATATTATTCTGGAGTTAAGGTTGGTTTGGATCTCTTGCTTTTCCACTTATTCATTTTTCTTGATTTTTTAATCTTACATAGGAAAGTTTTCCTTTCTGTCCTTTGCTACCAGTATGTGGAAAGATGCAAATGTGCACTTGATAGGTGTTTTAAAAGTAACTTATTATGATATTTCCTTAAGATTCTGTTTCACTGGTTCAGAGTTCTGGTTGAAGTATAAAATGATGCATCATTCTTTTGCAAAATCTTCATTTTTACAGGTCTATTGGGTGTAGAAGTATATTCTGCAAATAGGACACGATTGAGGACTTCTGCTAGGAACCGATTTATGTGCACCTTGAATCAGTCAGCAGGGATCTCAGCTCAAACAGAGCATATAGAAAGTAGGACTTTAGTCAAAATGTGTGGAATTACATCAGCTAGAGATGCTGCTCTTGCAGCAGAAGCTGGAGCCAATTTTATTGGTATGATCATATGGCCTAACTCAAAACGTTCTATTTCACTTTCTACTGCAAAGGAGATTTCCAAGGTTGCGCGGGAATATGGAGCTGAGCCAGTGGGGGTGTTTGTAGACGATAATGCTGACACAATACTAAATGCCTCTGATGCAGCAGACCTTGAATTTGTGCAGGTGAGGAACTCTGTAATTTTCACCATCTTTGATTTCTTGTTTCCAATTCCTCAAAATTCACATGCAAATTGAGCAGCTTCATGGAAATGCTTCTCGAGATGCTTTTCCAGTTTTGGTCAGGGAAAAACATGTAATATACGTACTTCATGCAAATAAAGAGGGAGGCCTTTTGAACTATATTTCTGATGAGGAGTCTTCTCTGGTTGATTGGGTTCTAGTGGATAGTGCAAAAGGTGGCAGGTATTGATTCTCCTTGCATAAACCTGTCATGGCTGAGTATGAAATCATTCACTGTCTCTTTCCAACCATGTTTATATTGCATAGATAATGTAAAAGACAGGTGATATTGAGCTAATCAACAAAGATGTAATTCTGTTTCTGTTGGTATACTACACTTGTGTTCGCCCAAGCTTTTCAAAAAGTGCTTTAAGTGTCAAATTACAAATAAGGGCATGAAGAGATTTGCTTAATCGTTGATGCTATATAAGTAGATAAATAATCGCAAATATTTATTATTAAAGATAATAATTAAGTTTTTTATTTAATTTAAGTAAAATGTAAAAATAAAATTGAAAAGTACTTTATTCTTTCAAGATAATTTAAATATATCAAAAAACCATTCAATAAATATGAAAGTTCATCCCAAAAGTCATTATATATTACTTAATAGTTTAAACTAAGGTTATTTTGGTATATATAATATTTTGCTAAGGGTATTTTTGGTAGGAAGAAAAGTCAAAAATTGCTTCCGCTTATGGAAAGAAGCTACTTTTTTATGCTTTTTAAAAACTGCTTCTACTTCTAGCCAAAAGCACTTTTTTCTCCAAAAAAAAAGCTTGGCCAAATACCTCAAATTGAGAAAAAAAGCACTTTTGGCTTGGGGAGAATCTTGGCCAAACAGGCTATAACAGTGACATTGTAGTTAGAACAAGAATAGGAATAGTAGCAATGAGGACAATGAAAATTTTTGAGAAGTTGAATTCATAGCAAAGTCTTAGTAAGTGGTGGATTCTAAATTAAGAAATAAAGTTTGTTATCTACCTAAAACTGATGAATGATGCAATTGATATGAGTTAGGTGTAAGCAGCTGAATTTTACTCCTGCAAAATCATCAGTTACCAATTTTCACTTGCTCTCCGTATACTTAGTAGCTCACTTTTGCAGTGGCAAAGGATTCAACTGGGCTCAGTTTAAGCTGCCGCGAATTAGAAGCAAACATGGGTGGCTCTTGGCAGGAGGAATTAACCCGGAGAATGTTTGTGAAGCTCTTTCTGCACTTAAACCCAATGGAGTGGATGTGAGTAGTGGCATATGTGGACGGGACGGCATCCAAAAGGATGAGTCACGGATACTATCGTTCATGAATGCAGTGAAATCTGTACGGCTGTAGGTAATATTGAGGCAAATTCCCGAGTGCAGATTCTTAAATCAACTGCAATGTTCCTCTTGTAATTTATTGCATAGGCCAAGACTAATATCTCAGGTGTTACTAGAAAACCATCAATTTCTTTGTAGGAGAAGAAACTTCCCTTGTGTAGTTCAATTGATGGGGCTATAAGCATGACTTGATGGATTGACGACAAGTAATAAAGTAAAATTCTATTGCACTTTGTTGGATTGAAAATGACTTTCAATTTGCTTGTCTTAATGAATTTATTGTGATAAAATCTTTTCCAATTGTAAGTGATCCACACAAGAAAAATATGTGATACTTAACACAGATACTATTCTTTCTTGGCCAAACCGCAGAGGCATTTTAGCTACTTTGTTACTTCCTGTCAATTATTACTAACTACATTGTGTAAGAAAAATATATCAATCATGTGGCAACCACAAAAATTATATGCCTTCCCCCATTTCGCCTCAGTTGTGATTATTGAAGCCTGTATAAAGTATCTCCTGCCTAACAGCCCAATCTGTAAGTGTTGTAAGCCTGAATTGATAACTATATGTTTGATGATTAGTTATTCTGGACAAACCAATACAGATGATTAAATTAGTTGCGCATTCCAAAGACAGAACAACATATTTCCTAAACTTGGTTGACTTTATTTCTTTAAAAGGAAATCCGACCTGTGTCAGTTAGATATCTGTCTTATCATAGTGACATAATATTTTAGTAGCGGAATCTAATTAGAATCAAAATTCTCCAAGACGATATGTAACAAGCTTATCATCCTGGCCACGGTGTGTTAGTAGGTAACTAAAGTAATGGCATATAATAGTGTCTGTCTTTCTTGCTATTACATTACAGGTTAATAATTAACCTGCACTGATAGTACAAAAATCTTTACACTATCATTGTATATAACATTAATTATTTTTTAACATCTCATAATATATCAAACTTGTATTATTATTATAAAGACGTCAACTTCTATATGGGGGTGAAACTTTTCTTATTTATACATGACTTGTATGATAGAGAGTGGATATTGACTACCTTGACAACAATCAATTAACAACTACTGTTAAAATTAGCAGGCTAGAGGTTTTTAAGGGATTAAGTATAACACGTAGATGTTTATAATTTTTATATTGAAAGTGACATTCCTTTGTTGTTTCATTCATCTCTCCCCAACTTAATCACCCTTGATATTTTATTTTTTTGCTTAGTCTAAATCAATTTCTTTTCTCCTTTCACTTTCTTGGGGCAAAAATATCTCTTCATATGTGATGTTAATGGATCCACGTACAGCAAAAAAAAAAAAAAAAATGGTGGGACAGAGTATGTTTCTATAATCATTTCACAATGAAGAATACAAATAACAAACTTTCTTGGCCAACCCTACCTGGAGACAATTTCTTTCTCCACTCAATTATTACAATATGGCAACAATTGAAACTGCTCTTCTACAGACTTTATATGCCTTCTCCATTCTTTAATGGCCATAGTGTTAGTGAAAAATAATCACCTGCTTTAAAATTGTAGTATAGGATTCTATTTCTGAGACCCTGAAAGCTGAGGATCAGTTTGATAATATACTATATCACCAGTGTCACTCACATAGTGATCCTGCTTCATACTCTTTATGAGAACTCCCAACAAGTAAAATGGTAGAGGCCCTGACTTCTTTGGCTCCTTATAATACTTCCCTAACACTGGCTTAGCAGCTTCAGTCTGCAAATTCAAAAACACACCATCGCATATTGCATTGAGCAGCTAGTTTCTTTGTAAATCAAAACTCATTTTTATACATATTGTGATACTTACTGCTTCCACCAAATGATAGTGTGGGATTTGAGGGAATAGATGATGTATCACATGTGTTCCTATGTCATGGTGGATGTTGTTAATCCATCCATAATCGCGATCAAGCGTTGTAAGCCCTCCTCTAAGATAACTCCATTCCTGTTTGATACATCTAAATTGTCAACTCCCAACTTTTTGCTACGCCTCAATTCCAAGCAAGTAGGAGTCGGCTTCTTTATAAAAATAATACTGCTATGTGCTAATATTTCTCAAAAGACCAGTTATGCATCAAGAATCTCTATAGACAGAACATATGTTAATAACATATTTCCAGCCTATCAACTAGTATTTTTAATAGTAAAATCTAACTCCAATCAAAAGTATACCTCTCCTCTGTACCAAGGAAGTTTATCATCATGACCATGGTGATGCAAGTAGGTAACTAAGTCAAGCCACATGACAAAGCCCTACATTCAAAATATTGAATTCCAAATTATAAGAACAAGCAAAAAGTTAGGCAAAAAGGGGGAAAAAATGAGTGTCAAGAAAGGAAGGTTGAAAAATGGACTAACCCAATAGGGGATGCCATAGAGCTTAAGCACTTGGAAAGGACCCATTACAAAGGACAATCCCACTAGCAATGCAGCCACAGCTGTCCAACACAAAGTTGAAGTCATCACATCTTTCTTCTCACTTGGAACAAACAAATCACTGTTTGGATCAAAGTGAGACCCTTTCTTTCCAGGGCTTCTACTCCACTGTAATTAAGAATTCAAGAAAATGTCATTTTTTTGTTGCCAATTCACACTTATTATGGATATAAAAGATACTATGAAGTACTCACCAGATAGAAAGGGTATGCCAACAAGGGAAAGGGCAGAGTGAACCTTAATTTCTTTGTGGCAAGATCCAAACTATTGTAAATCTTCTCAGGTATCTGAGAAAGCAAAAAATCAGAGGTTGAACAAGCAAATAAAATGGTGTTTGGAAAATGCAGAAACTTACAGGATGCCATGACTCATCATTCTCAACATGTCCATGGTTCTGATGATGTGTCCTATGACTTATTCTCCTGAAAACCATCAACCACAAAATACACCATTCATTAGACACTAATCTTCTTAAAAATCTCAATAATTTTCAAGAAAAGAGAAACAAACCATCCATGGTAAGGAACAAGAATTGAAGAATGAAGGATATGTCCAACAACACTATTCAACTTGTGGTTATTTGAAAAACTTCCATGTCCACTGCATGCACAATTCACAAAGAAAACCAAAATGGGGTCACCAAATTAAGCTCCAAATAACAATAAAAATCAAATCACGAGGATGCATTACCAATCATGACCAAGAACAAAGAGAGCCCAAAACATAGTACTCTGAGCAAACCAATACAAAGGCCAAACAACCCAATTGTTGAAATAAGCAGCCGCAGCTGCCAATCCAAATACAATAGCAACATCCCTAACAACATAACTCATAGATTTCCATGGATTCTTGACCCAACAATGCTTAGGAATAGCTGCCCTAATATCAGACAACTTAAATGGTGGGGGTGCCCCTGGGTCAAAAAACTCATTATCTGTTGTTCTCTCACTTTCCTCTTCTCCGACAGTTTGGATCCTAAGTGGTGCACTTACCCTCAATGCCCAATTCCTCTCTTTATAAGTATTAGACAAAGAAATTGAAGAACCACTCAGATCTGTACGTGAAATTCTCAACTTTATGTGAGAGGCACAAGTGGCGGCCCCAGTTCTGGGCTTTGGGTAGATTCTTGGGAGTGGTCTAAGACCACATTCTGATAAAACCCAACTTGCCATTGAAGGAGAGAGATTTTCTTCAACTCTGAATCTCTCGAGAGAGATGCAAAGATGGGGAAACTAATGCTAATACAGGAAAATATAAAAAGGGTGTTTAGGACAAGTCTCAAAAAATGTGTGTTTGTTATGAATTATTTGTTTTTTTATTGGTTGGTTTTTAGGCTATAGGTAGGGTGGAGAGAGAAATGGATATGTGAAGATAACTCAAGGGGAAATCTAAGCTTCAACTAGAGCTACAAAAACCAACCTTAACTTGTGTTGCTTGTTGATTGTCTTGTTTTTCCTTATCTATTCATAGTCCAATTGGTTGTGTTGGGGACCTTCTTCTTTCTTATATAGTAATAATTATTATATAGTTGAGCAGACCTCTCTTTCTTACACCTTTCCTGTTCAGATAATATGTCTGACCACTAAAGAAAAAGAAGAACGTGATTTTAATGTAGTTCAGGGTTTCCATATTTTATTCATTTATTTTATTATTTACACACTATTATTAAGCGTGTGGGATTGTTTGGTATTTTGAGTTCTTCATTGACTGTTGTTATTAGTTGACCAGTTGTTACAATTGTGTATTAATACTGTATACTAGATTTTTATATTCCATGAGGAGGCTGTAGAAGGTATTTAGTAAGTAAAACATATGGTTCTCATATGTTTTTAGTAAGTAAAACATATGGTTCTCATAACCCTAAGGGCCGGTCCAGAAGGCCACTTCATAATTAGAATTGTGTATAATTGGATCTAATTATACAATTAGCAGTAAAAATTGTATGGGGTGCCCTATTTGGTCGCCCCCTTTTAACTTATATCCGTTTTATTTTTCCGTTTGCATCTGTACCCTTTTTTTCTCGTTAAAAGCGTTTTAAAAAGATGATTTTGTCCTTCAGGACTATTGACAAAACTGTAGACTGCAGGAAAAAACTTTTAGCATGTTTTGGCATGAAGTTTTAGCAAATGAACTAAATAACTTAAGCATGTTTAATCTGAAGTTTTAGCAAATGAACTAAATAACTTAAGCATGTTTAGTCTGAAGTTTTAACAAATGAACTAAACAGCTTAAGCATGTTTAGTCTGAATTTTAACAAATGAACTAAATAACTTCAGCATGTATTAGCAAAAACTCATTAGAAAATTACTAGCAAGACAAAAACTTAAGCATGTTTAGTCTGAAGTTTTAGCAAATGAACTAAATAACTTAAGCATGTTTCGTCTGAAGTTTTAGCAAATAAACTAAATAACTTCAGCATGCATTAGCAAAAACTCATTAGAAAATTACACACTGCAAGACAAAAATTTAAGCATGTTTAGTCTGAAGTTTTCGCAAATGAACTAAATAACTTCAGCATGTTTAAACTGAAGTTTTAGCAAATGAACTAAATAACTTCAGTACTCATGACAAACTTCCCCTGACCCCACTAGTGGGATTTTACTGGGTATGTTGTTGTTGTTATACTCATGACAAAACTATTGAATGCTGGATAAATAACTTCAGCATGCATTAGCATGAAGTTTTAGCTTCAATGTAAAACAACTTCATGCTATATTAGCATGAAGTTTTTAGCTTCAAGGTGAAACAACTTCGTGCAAGTGTGATTCTGAAGATAAATCTGGACAAGTTACTGATTTTTTGATAAAGCTGCTGAGAGGAAATGAGATCTTTTTTTATGAATGAGGTTGCAGATTATGCGATTTATCAGGGGTGTAATTGTCATATTATTACGGATTTTTTGTCAACTTACTACCAAATCAATAATTTTAAAAAATAGGGTATAGGTTAAAAGGTAGCACAAATATAGAGTACGACTGCAAATCCCCCATTTAGCATACTTGTCTAGCCAAGTATTTATTTGGCCATAAAATTTAGTATAATTAGGCAAGCAATTACACTATTCAATTTCAAAGGGAGATAAAAAAATCCATAGTAATGACATAATGTAGTTTATTATATGACTTTATAAATTCTTTTTTCATTTCTGATATTTATTGTATACACATATATCTGCACACATTAAAAAATATATTGATCCCAAAAAAAAATATTTATTTATCTAGTTTCTTAAAACTAGCTTTATATTAAAATAAAATTATATCAAACTATGTTAATACGCTTGTGGAACTAAATAAATATTTTCAAAATTATGTTGTAATTACATTAAGATGAACAAATATGTCATTGTAATACTATATCTTGTAATTAGGAGTTATACTGACTCTACGGTTCATAGGTTCGAGCGATGAAATAAATCGTTGATGTTGGTATCAAGGTGGGTTGCCAATATACATCCCTCGGGGTGCGGACCTTTCCCGGATCTTGCGTGAACACGAGGCTTTGTGCATCGGGCTACCCTTTTAAAGAGAAGCCTTGGAGCAACAGTAAAATTGACTTCGTATGACCTATACATTATGGGTTATGTATAGGGTTTAATATGCTATACTAAGTGGCCGCTTAAAAGAGTGACACGTGGAACCTAAGGCGGGGGATAGTTAGAACCAAAGACAATTATCCTGTTTGTCACCGGAAAGAATGACACTCAAAGATGCAATAAATACCCTCCGCCCGGTGGCATTTAATGGAGAATATTCCATAATATTTATTGTGCTACCTGTTACAAAGAATTTGTCATTTATGCTCACCATTACACCTTCATCAATGACCCTCATAATTGACATTAAAGAAGGGCATGATCTTATGACCTTGTTCCCTAGGTGCAGCTATAAATAGTGAGCTTTGTTATCATTGTAAAGGGACGACTTTACTAGCAAAATTATGCCATAATCAGTTGAAAGTGTTATATAATCTTATCTTCTTATTCCTTGATTTCATCGTTGTTGTGCTCGGAAGCTAGCTCTATCTCCCGGAATTACTATTTCTGCGATTTTATGTTCGTTCCAAGGCTAAATATTGTGTATTTCTTCAATTATTCTATTATTTCAGGATCAATTAATTCACTTGTCTAGAAACCACGTATAAATTTAATTGTTCCGTTTTACGGGTAAACAGTTTGGCGCTCTCTGCGGGGCCTAGACAACCGTGTAATTAACTTGATCCTTGCCTCTTTTACTAACGTGTTTTAATTATTTGTCTTAGCAAAAATCATAAAAAATGGCAGACAATGGTGTTAACAACACGCACAATCTTGAGGCTCAAGGAGACCAGCCTCGTCACGAGGATTCACTCAGTGACACCCACAATGAGGGGAACGATATCTCGCCGACCCACGACAGGCGGTACCCACGACATGTTAGGGAGGCGACTCCCGATGATGCTGAAGAAGAGCATGTTGTTGATGCAGTGAGGATTCTACAAGAGCAATAAGCGATCATTCTAGGCCACCTCACACGGCAGGATAAGGTTATGACAGAGTTAAAGCGGGCGTTATCGGGGGCTTCCAATAACACGAATATGTGAAGCCCAATTCCTACTGGTGCTCCCGCAAATCAAGCAACGTAGAGGGCAAACCCAGCACGACACTAGAAATAATTCCAAAGTGGCTTAAAATGTCTAATGTGTCGAAGTATGATGGAACTTCAGACCCTCAGGAGCATATTACTACCTATACAATGGAGGTGAAGGGGAATAATTTAGCTCCCCGTGAGATTTAATCCGTTTTGCTGAAGAAATTTAGAGAGACTCTCACGAGAGGAGCCTTGACATGGTATTCGCTGTTACTCGAGTACTCCATAGGTTCCTTTGAGATGCTCGCGGACTCTTTTATTAAGGCTCATATAGGAGCCAGAAAGGTGCAGGCCCGAAAGACCGACATATTTAGAATTACACAAGGAGAATCCGAATTGCTGTGGGAGTTTGTCACCGAATTCCTAATGGGCGGCTAAAGCATTCACCAAGGGGCTGAATCCGAGAAGTTCAGACGCTTCCCAATAACTAAAGGAAAGCTTGCTTGAATTCCAAGCGACGACTTGGGCTGATATCCATAATCGATACGAATCAAAGATAAGGATTGAAGATGATCAGGTAGGCTTCCCCGCCATTGGCAAAAGGACGGGAGAAGGATAAAGAAAAATCAAAAGACGATTTTGACACAGATAGACGGTCTTCGAGGGGCCGATTTTTGCCCTACGAATGGATTAAACGATGCGGCAGAGGCTTTCGATCAGCAGACAGGTTTGCTACCGACAGAAAGACTGCTTACGGTTAGAACACCAGATCAATGCAGGACAAAGAAGCGTTAGGTACGCCGGATCCTTCCTACCCAAGCTATCAGAATACAATTTCAATGTCAGTATAGTGGAGTTAGTATCAGCTATGAGAAACACCAAAGAAGTGCGGCTCCCGAAGCCGATGAGATCGGATCCCAACAAGAGGGATCCCAACTTGTAGTGTGAATACCACAGGACGAATGGCCACCGGACTGGGGATTGCTGACATCTGCGGGAAGAGGTGGCGACATTATTGAAGAATGTTCATCTTAGAGAATTCTTAAGTGTAGAACAACTATGGCCGCAACCGTGATAATGCGGGGCCCTCGAAAGCGGGAGAAGACCCCCCGTGCCAGACGATCAACATGATTTTAGGGGGGAACCAGATCAACGGGGTCACCTTCTCGGCAGCGAAAAAGACAAAGGTATTAATAACCCATAGCAAGAGGCTTCAGGAAGTTGCCGAAGACGATATCACTTTCACAGAGGAGGACGCGGACGGATTGTTGCTACCGCACAGGGACGCCTTGGTAATTTTGTTAAATGTATTAGATTTTAAAATCAAACATGTTCTAGTAGATCTAGGGAGTTCAGCCAATATCATACGATGGATGGTATTGGAGCAAGCCAAACTCACCGGAAGCATCGTTCTGGCCACAAAACTCCTCGTCGAATTCAACCTCGCAAGTGTGACAACCCAAGAAGAGATCTTGATGCCTACGAACATCCAATGAGTGATGAAGACGACTCTTTTTTAAGCGGTGGATGGTGATATGGGATATAATATTATTCTGGGAAGACCGTGGTTGCACGAGATGAGAGTTGTACCATCGACATATCATCAGTTGCTGAAATTCCTGATGCCTGAAAGAATCAAACAAATAAAGGGGCAATCAACGGTGGCTAGGGAGATGAATGCAATTTCGGTATCCAGTAGTAAAAGGAAGGAGCACGTGACATAGAAACTACAGCAACCGATGCCTGCTCTCGAATTAAATGAAGATAGCCAGGGGGAGAAGCGTCAGAATCTTATCAGGTGCCGAGATATTTCTAGGTACCGAAAGAAACGGATGCAACAAAATTCACAGCCCAAGAGCTCGAACAAGTTGCATTATTTGAAAAATTCTTGGAGGGGAAATCCCACCTGGGGACAGGGCT